ACCGGCCGGCCAGCCACTGCATCTCTGGTTCTCCCCTTCCCCCAAATGCCGAGGCCTGGGGCTTAGCCCAGGAACGGAGCCCTGACTGTCTCAGCAGGTCATGGCCTCAGGCAGGTGGCGCCCCTCCTGACCCCGCCGTCCCGTCTCTGACCGGGGGCGCGGTGCTGCCGGAGGGTCCGGGGTGGGCATGGAGGGGACGGGCCGGGCCGCCTGGGCAGATGCCAGCGGCGGGAACACACTCGCTGTGACCGCCAGAGGTCTGCGCTCCGGTCTGGAGGCTGCTTTTTCTCCCTCCTTCTGGCAGCTCCTTGGCACCCGCACGGACGTGCCGTGGAGCCATTCGGGAGCCGGAGGAAAACACAGACCCTCTCCTTTCCCAGAAACTCCGCCGATTATTTCCTTTTCGGGCCCGGAGCGGCTCAGCTGGCTGGGGGGGCAGGAAGCGGGGCTGCTCCAGGCTCGAGGTGGTGGCGGCGGGCAGGGCTCGCTCTTCCTGCCCGGGGACCGCTTCACACCTCGGGCCCCACCCCGGCGGGGTCAGAGGGCGGCCCCGGACCGACGGAACCCGGACGCCTTCGCTGGCTTTAATGGCTTTCACCATCCGGCTGATCAGCGTTCTTGGCTCCAGGCGGCGGCTGGGCGTGCGTGTTGATGCTTCCGTCCGTCCATCCATCAGTCTGTGCGGAGGGGGTGGGCCCGGCCTGGCGGTGCCCTGCGTGGGCGGCGAGGGCTCGGGCCTATTTTTGGTGAAGCCGCTTCAGTGCTGGAGCCAGTGGGATGCAGGGCACAGGGAGGGAAGCCTGGCGGGGGGAGGAGCAGCATGGCCAAGGCCAGCTGGTGGGGAGGTGGGAAAGGACTAGGTTTTCTGCTGGACACAGGCTCCTCCTGGGCAATACTCCTCGGGCTACCAAGTCCCCAGTCGTCACCCCTTTAACGGGAACCTCCTGCTGTCAGTGAGGACCCGACATCATGTACAAAGCAGGGGGGGGGGCACCTTCACTCCCATCTGAGGGCACTCCAGGCTTCCAGGGGGCGATGGTGACAGCACCCACAAGGACAGCAGGCGGTCACGTGGCTGCTGTGGGAGGGGACGCAGGGCATGCACACAGGCCGGACGGGGAGAGAGCGGCCAGGGGTGGCCTTCGGGACGGAACAGCCGCTCCGCTGAGCCCTGACCGGCGGAGAGCCGGGGTGGGGGCTGTCCGGCCCGCGGGCCACGGGAGGCCCCCGAAAGCACACGGTCCGGCCCTGCCGAGGCGTTGGGGCGAGTGAGTGAAACGTGTGACCGAAGGGAGCAGACTAATGGTGAAGTGGATGATTGTGTCCGGCCCGAGAAGGATGCTATCAATACCACACGGCCTGTGGCGGAAAGACGGCCCCACCCCCGCCGCAGAGGCCGAGCTCAGCAAGAGGCAGAGCAGGAGGACATGTTGGCAGCCTCCACCTGGGTCGTGGTCACAGGATCCCGAAGTGAAATGAACGCGTGCTGCAGGCAGAGGGCAGGGCCTCTGCAAGGCCCGGGGTGAGAAGGAGAGATGGCCATCCTCTCCACGTTCTCTCCTCCCTCTCTCTCCCACCCACCTCGCACCGACTGAGGCTGCTACACCCAGGGAAGCAGTGGCCGGGACCCACCCCTCCTCCACATACAAGCTGTGGGCCTACAGACAAGTTTTACCCTCTGAGCCTCAGTTTCCCGGTCTGCAAACCTGCCATCCCTGGAGGAGGAGGAGGAGAAGGAGGAGGAGGAGGAGGAGGAGGAGGAGGAGGAGGAGGAGGAGGAGGAAGAGAGCTCGGCACAGAGCCTGGTGCTCCAGGAGCCATGTCTGCCAGTGCCAGCCTCGGCTCGCCCATCCCCTGGTCTCCAGAGGGGAGGCTGCAGGAAGGGCCACCTGGTCCTCAGAGGGGGGCTGGGAGAGCCCAGAACCCCGGGTCCGGGCAGGTGCCGGTGCTCGGAGAGGTCCTGGCCCGGGAGGAAGTGAGGCTGAGGCTTCCCCCTGAGCTGCACTCAGTGACAGCCCTGGGTCTGGTGCTGTCACCACGGCGGCTGTGCGCAGAGCCGGCCGGTCAGACCGAACCCCATGCCATATCCCGGCCAGGATGCGTGAGGGAGGGAGGCTCTGATGTGCTGGTCTGCATCTCACCGCTCTCTCTCTCTGTCCTCAGCGGGACCTTCTGTCCAAACTGCACCTCTGCGGACCGTGTGACCGGCTCCTCCTCTGGGCTTCTGTCCCGGGACCACCTCCCTCCTCAGAGAGGCCTCTGTCCACCCTAAAGACGTGCGTCCCCGCCCCTCCCTGGACCCTCATGCCCCACAGAGCCTGGTCACGGAGCCCGATGCCTGGGAGCTGGTTTGATTAAACTGTGTGTCTGCCCTCAGCGATGGCCGCCTGTCTGAGCACTGCCACCTCCCGGCCCTGGTCCACAGACACTGCTGACCCGGGGGAAGCTCAGACTGCGGGGCCCCTGCAGAGGACTAGGGGGAACTCCTGTCTACCTCCGGTTCAAAAAACCGAAGGCACGCCTCCTCCCCTCAGTCCTCTGAACCCCTTCCCCCACCCACCATCTGCCTTCTCCCTCGGGGAGTGGAATCCGAGTTCCGGCCAGCAAGAGGGGACACTGCCTCAGCCACACCGGGGACAGCCTGGAGCAGGAGCACTCAGCATGGCACCCCTCCCCCACCGGGAGCAGCCCCGGGAATCAGACAAGATTCCCAGCATGCTCTGCGGCTCCATCACCTGTCAAACCCACAACCAGCCGAACTCCCCCGGACTGCCTGCCTGCCTTCCTGCGTGGGGGCTGTTTGAGAGATGGGGCCCCTGGTGGCCAGCCCCCCTCTCCCCTCTGGGAAAGCTGTTAGCTACAAAGAACCCCACGCCCACCAGCCCAGATACAAGACAGTGAGAGGCGACGAGAGGGCACCCGGAAAATAAAGTCAGCGCAGAGCCAAGGAGGGCCACGGGGACCCCACCTCCTCTGTTAGCCTGGGGTGGAACTGGACTTTATAAAACACTCCGAAGACGTGAAATATTCACACGTGGTTCAAAATGAAAATATGACTAGGTTTACAGTGAAAAGCTCATTCCCCCTGTCCTTTCCACCAATCCCCATGCATATCCATTATTCTTACTACCTGGGGGTCCTTCCAAAGTCCTCCAGGCAAATTAGGCATTTACAAACATATACTCGTATCCCCCTTTTCACAAAGGGATTCCATATTGTACTTCCTATATAATAAAAGGCTAATATGCCAATCGACCAAACAGCAGAATGACCAGGCGCTATGACATGCACTGACCACCAGGGGCAGATGCTCAGCGCAGGAGCTGCCCCCTGGTGGTCAGTGCACTTTCACAGGGAGAGGGCCACTCAGCCAGAAGCCCTGAGCCCGCTAATGGCTGGCCAGCACAGCTGGGGCGGCCGGAGCCTCTCCCACTTGACAGTGGGACATCCTCTGAGGGCTCCCAGACTATTAGAGAGCACGGCCAGGGTGCGGGACCCCACGCCCACCCCGAGCACGAATTTCGTGCATGGGGCCTAAAGTGTGTGTATACACACACACACACACACACACACACACACATATATATGATATATATTCACACCTTTTTTCCCCATAGATCTGTATTTGCACACTGAAGATATATACATGTGTATGTGCACATGTGTGTACACACACACACCCACTCCAATTGTTAAGGGGTTTCTGTCATTTCCATTCAATTCTCCTGAAAGGTGTTCAGATGGAGGGTCAGCACAAATGGCTGGCTTCCTCCCATGACCGACCAGACACGGGCTGTCCGCATGGAACTCAGAGCAGGAGCCAGGCGCCAGGAGCCAGGAGCCAGGAGCCAGGAGCCAGGAGCCAGGCGCCAGCTCCTGAGAAGTGACATCTGCAGGTCCCACTTGAGCATCTACATTGAGTTCTGGCAGAAATCCCGCTCCGGAGAGAGGGAAGCCAAGAGGTAGAATGACTGGTCCAAGGTCACACCGCCAGGGAGCGGGAGGAAGCGGTGCGGGCAGAGCTCCCACCCCGTCTGCCCATCTCTGAAGCCAGCTTGCCCGCTTCCCTCTCCCTCCGGCCTCCTGGTCCACACAGCTCTCCCACCGGCGGACCGGCCCGCGAGCCCCGGCCGCTGGCAGCGGCGGGCGTGGGCGGACCGGGCTTCCGCCGCAGGTCCCTGCGGTCCCGCAGCCCGGCCCCCGCCCCGCCGCTGCGGCCCGAGTCCCCGCGCCCGGGAAGGTCGCCGGCTCCCACCTGCCGCTGCCGCTGCCGGGAGGCGCCCCCGGCCCCTTCCCCGCGGGGCGAGCGGGACCGGAGCCCGATCCCCCCACCCCCACCCCGGCGGCGGCGATTGCAAAACTTCCCGCCCTGCAACCGCCCCGCGGGCCCGGGGCTTCCAGGTGCCCGCGCTCCCCCGGCCCTCTCCCCCCGCCTTACCCTGCGGGGGACTATCCGCCCCTCCCGGCCCCAGCCCCGGCCCGGGGTCCGGTCACTCCCGGCCCGCAGCCCCGGCCCGGGGTCCGGTCACTCCCGGGTCCGGTCACTCCCGGGTCCGCAGCCCTGGCCCGGGGTCCGGTCACTCCCGGCCCGCAGCCCCGGCCCGGGGTCCGGTCACTCCCGGCCCGCAGCCCCGGCCCGGGGTCCGGTCACTCCCGGCCCGCAGCCCCGGCCCGGGGTCCGGTCACTCCCGGCCCGCAGCCCCGGCCCGGGGTCCGGTCACTCCCGGCCCGCAGCCCCGGCCCGGGGTCCGGTCACTCGCGGAGCGGCCAGGAGCGCGGCCGCCGCACTTTCCAGCCTCCCCGCTGTCCGCGCCGCCCCGGGACCGGACCCCGGGGAGCCCCGGGAGGCGCCGGGGCTGCGCGCAGAGAGGGCAGCCACCCGCCCAAGGTCACACAGCGGCGGCGCGAGGCCCGCGGCGGGGGCTGGGACTCCCCGCCCGCGCCCCGCGCCCCGCGCCCCCGCCCGCCCCCGCCCCCGCCCCCGCCCCGCGCGCACTCACAGCCGGTCTTGCCCACGAGCTCGCGGACCTCCTCGGACGTGGACTGGGCGGCGCCCATGGTGCCCTGGGCGGGGGCTCCGGGGCGGCGCGGCGGCCGGTCCGGCCTCGGGTTCCAGCGGACTGAGGCGCCGGGGCCGCTCGGAGCCGCGGGGTCCGCGTGGGGCGCGGGCGCGGCCTCTTATAGCGGCGGCGGCGGCGGCGGGCGCGGTCCTAGCGCCGCCGGCTTCTCGCCGCGGGAAGAGGGGAGCGCCCGCCCCGCCCCGGGCCTGGGAGGCGGGAGGACCGAGGAGCCCACCCCCGAGTCCTCCCTCCCTGTCCCCGCAGCAGATGCCCTGCAGGTGAGCCTCCCTTCCTCGCGGCTGCGGCTCTGAGAAGACGCAGGTGTGCGCGGAGGCGGGCCAGGCCCGGGAGGCTCCCGCGCTCACTCCCCCCGCACATCCCGCCCCCCTCCCGCCCCGATCCCGGGCGGAAACTCGCCTGGAGCCGCGGAGGCAGCAGCTACAGGTGCCGCAGCGGCTGCCGGGGATGCACCAGGTGCCGTGCATTCTCCCAGCGCCTCAGGAGGGGGCACACCTGCGGGCTGGCCGCCTCCCAGGAGCTGGGCCTTGGGGGTCCCAAACTTTAGCAGCGGGGAGCGCCCCCCCCCTTTCTGACTCATTCGGGCTGCGTTTCAGACAAACTGCGAGATGGACGCTGTGGTTCCGTCAGCGGGTTCCCGCGTAAAGATGCTTAGGGGTAGGTTCGCAGCCAGTCTGGGCCCCGGGGGCTGGACCTGCCCCCCTCTCCCCAGGTTCCTTCTCCTCAAAACGGGAGGACGTAGGGACTGAGAGGCCCGGCAGAGGGCCCAGCGGAGCCAGTCCACTTTGTCAGAGACACTGGGTCTCAGAGGTCCCACAGGGAGCTGCCAATCACAGTCCAGACCTCCAGGTTCTCAAGCTCAGGGCTGGGGGTGCTGGGCGACTGACAAGGCCATCGATGGGTGTTTACGCGGTCCTGGGTGCCAGGCTGAGCGAGGGTGCTGGGGTGGGGGCCAGGGCCCTCCTGTGTTCACGGGGATCTGGGTGGCGCTGAAGAGAGGGTGCCCTCGCTGCAGACCACAGGCCCAAGACAAGGGTCACAGCCCTCGCCAGGGGCAGACCCTTTCAGAGCCACCAGGGGGCTCCTGAACCTGCCAGAGCGCTGCCCATTGAGGCACCCAGAGAGGGGCAGCTCCTGGAATGGCATTTTCACTTTTTTATTTTCATTTTTAAAAGAGTTTTAGTGATTTCAGAGAAGAAGGGGGGGGAGAGAAACATCAATGATGAGAGAGAATCATTGACTGGCTGCCTCTAGTACACACACACACACACACACACACACACACACACACACGGGGGCGGGGGGTGAAGCCAGGTGTATGTCCTTTACCAGAATCAAACCTGGGACCTTTTGGTCCGCAGGCTGATGCTCTATCCACTGAGCAAGACCAGCTAGAGCTGGAACGTGCCTTTTTAAAACACCGCAGGTGGTGCTGAGACCTGGCCTGGCCGGGGACTGTGGCTGTCAGACGCCAGCTGGTCTCAGGGCCGGGAGGCTGGTCTCAGCGGCCTGGAGGCTGCGTTTTGGGTCAGAAGGCAGCTAGAAGCCTGGACTGGCTCTGGGTTAGAAAGGGGGATCCCGGGCCCCTTGGGAGTGACCCCCGGCTGCTGGGAACTATTTTATTCTGCCTTAAAGCCTCAGTTCCGGGAATGTGGTTACATAAATTACTGAAGGGTCAGTGCTGGGGCTTTCTGCCGGGGTGCAGACAAAGGCGTCCTCGGACGGCGTCTCCTCCCCTTGGGGGGCTGCTCCCCGAGCTACAGACAGGGGGAGCCCCCACACCCGTCTCTACGTCAACGTCAACGTCAACGTCAACGTCGCCGCAAGGCCCATCGGCTGCTGTGGGCTCCAGACAAGCACTTACACTTGTTCCTCTGCGGAACTCCCCTCCCCTCCCTCTTCCGATGGCTGGCTTCCTCTTCTGATCTCGGGGTAATCGCTTCCTCCCAGAGGCCTCGGGGCTCCCGCCTGCCCGCTCTCCGGGGTCTGCGGCTGCTTAGCCCGGAGAAGGCAGGACCGAGGGGGCTGACTCCCGAGGGCAGGGCTCCTCGGGGCAGCGGGAGGTGCTGGCACCGGGGCCCAGCTGTGGGCTCCTTCTTCCTCCCACCTGCTCCCTGCACGCTCGTGGGACCTGTGGGTGCAGGCGCGGGCTGGGTCCCGGTGCCTCTTCTGAGGTGCTCCTGGGGGGGGGGAGGGCCTGGCACCCGGAGGTGACGGCCCCGCAGGGCAGACAGGCCCGTGGAGACCTGTTATCCCCAACTGTGAACACCGGGAGGACACACTTTTTTAGGCTGTTCATACCTTAAAATATTCACCTACTGTACTATTTTTTTTTTAATCTCTCTATTTTAAAGTTTCAAGCACAGTGCTGACCATTCTGTAATTTCCTAAAATTGTATTGTTTTCTTTCAGACAACTCAACTTTCCTTTATGTACAATACTTTAGGAAAATAACTACCTTGTAAAATAAATGTAACTTTTTTTTTTTTTGATACCAGCACACACTTTGATATTTTGGAGTTTGGAATATTTTTCCCCTCTGTTCCCCCTTTCCAGAGATTCTGCTTTAAATAACACTACAGTGAACTAAACCATGAGTTTGGGGGGCCCTGCAAGACACCCCCCTCCCCGGGAAAGGCGCACACACTCGGCGGGCTGGCACACCGGCCCCTGGCGCCGGGCCAGGCGGCAGGGCTCTGACCCGCGGCTCCGTGGCGTCAGAGGGGGTAGAGGGCTGATTCCCTGGGCTCTGGCGGCTGCTGGGAGCTGCCCTCTGCAGCCCTGCTAGGGGCACCCCGCGTGGCCACCTTTCCCGGCAGGACCTTCTGAGGCCGGGACGCACTCTGGTCACCAGGCAGCTCCCCGCGGCTCCTCGTCCGGAGGAGCTGGTTAAACACGGGCCGAGACGAGATGGCTGGCACCTCGGGGCCACTCGGGCAGCTGAGCCAGAGACAGGAGAGCAGCTCCCTTCTCGCTCGCCTTCCTCCCAGGGAATCAGCGGCTTCACCTGCCTCCCCGCCTGAAAAGGCAGAACCCGTGGTGGTTGTCAAGGTTAAGTGCGAACTCCTGTTCCGAAGCCTGACCCGGGGCTGGCCGGCTCAGAGCGCCCGGGGGCGGGGGGGCCTGGGAAACGGGCTCTGGCGGCGGGGAGAAGCCCCACTGGCAGCGTTTACCAACTTCCTGGTGTGGACATGCTCCCTGTGGCCAGCGTCAGCTCCCGGTAATTCAACAATTTGGTGAAGTTCCTGAGTGCTTAACCCTTTGCTCTGACACGCCGTCTGCCGCAGCAGCGGTAGACTGTGGTCCTCACTCACACATTCATTCATTCACTCATTCATTCATTCATTCATTCATTTACACACTCAGGACTCAGCGCCGGGAATTCAGACCCCGTCAGGCCCTGACCTCGGGGATCCCAGAGGCTGGAGGGAAGGAGACATGCACAGACCGTCACTAAGGACCCCCAGGGGGTGCCAGCTGCTGTGGGAGTCTAGAGGAGAAGGACCCAGTACACACCCACTTTATGGGTGTGAAAACCACGGCGTTTCAGAACCCGCGTGCGGGTGTGACGCTGGGTAACTGGCAGTTCCTAGCGTCCGCCCGGCTCATCCCCGTCCCTCTCATCACGGGCTCGGGGTGTTTCCAGGGCGAGGCTGCGGTCTGGGAGCAGCCAGACACCTGTAATCTGGAGGCGCTGAGCCAGGACATGTCGGGGACTCGCGGTGCTTAGCCTCTGACAGGCCCACGCCCGGACCACTTCACCCAGGGGAGGGGGAGCGATGCTCTCGTGAAATACGTGCAGGGAGGGGACGCCACAGCAGCCCTGCGCCCGCCTCCGCTCCCACACAAAAAGCTCCTCTTGCTTCTTCAGCTCGGGTGCTGGTCTCCTGGGTCCTGGTCTCTTGGTTTTAACAATCAGAGAAGAGCATCCCCAATTTGCATTTTGAATTAAAGTTATGGTTTTAAGAAGGCTTCTCACCCAGGGCGCCTGGGGGCACAGCACTGTGTGCAGGAGGCAGACTCTGGTCTGAGTTGGATCGCCCCTGCCACCCCTGGCTGCGTGTCCTTGGGCCGGTCGGTCACTCTGCCGCTCTGAGCCTTGGCGTCCTCATCTGTAAAATGGGTCCACAGCCCCGTCCTTAGGGAGAGGGGTCAGTGAGGGGTCAGTGGCTGGCAGGGCACGGCCTCCCCACGGTCCGTCCAGGACTTCCCACCAGGCTCTCCTCTCGGCCAGCTCTCTCTTCCCGCCATACCAGGTGGGACAAGTAAACAAACCCCACCTCGACCCTGCCCAGCCCCCACTTTTAGGAAATCGCTCTTGGTCTGAGGAGAGCGGCCTCTGCCTGGGATTGTAGAATGGCCCCCTCCCACCAGGCAGCCACCAGACTCTCCGTCTCAGCCCAACCGCGGAGGAGGGACGGGTGGGGAGGGGGCGTCCCCCGGGGGGAGGGCTGGCCGCCTAAAAATAGGAGGCCGGCTCCCTGGGGAGCGGGCCTGAGCGGCTTTCCCATTATTTGTTTAATTATAAATAGGATCGGCTGACGGGAACTTGCAGGGGCAGACAGAAGGGCGTCCCTGTGCAGGCTTCACACTCTGCATTGCTGTCAGAGCAGCAGGAGGTGGCGGAGCCCCAGTCCCCAGAGCTGTGTCTGCCCTCGGGCTGTTGTGAACAGCAGCGGAGCTGGAGCCCCTGGGAAGGCTGTGCTGGGCGGAGGGAGCAGGGGTGGGCGGTGAGCGCAGGGGACTCCCCGTGGGCATGGTGCCTTTGCAGCCACATGGCTTTCCTTAGGGCAGCTCATTGGGCACCACAGCCTCGTGACCGCTGACCGGGCCATTCACGGTTCCCATTTCGTTGATGTGGAGACTGAGGCTCACAGGGCTCAAATCACATGACCAGGCTCACAGTTAAGAGGCAACCGAGCCCAAGCCCCAAGCCAGCGGCGCCTCCACCGAAGGTTCCAATGCTGACACAGAGAGAGA